TAATTTGCATAGTGGAGTACCGACCATATAAATATGGTTGGTACCGGGAAGAGAGGGAGGAATCAAGAGATTCAATCCAGAGACTCTGCCCGACTGCGACTCAGTCAACACATTCTCCAGGAACGGTCTTACCAGGAATATACAAAAGACTATATGTAAATATTGTGTACACTTTCTTGTTTCAATACATTTTGTTCTAAGTACATTTTGTGTTGCATTATTATTCCATGCATTAGTCAAGTTTCAACAATTACCAAATAATCAGTCAAGATGATCTGGGCCCGAAAAACATCACGCACCAAAAGGAAGTGAACACCACTTCTTTTAACGAGTCACTCTGTGCTGCTGCTATTGCATGTAACATAAATTGTGGTGTGATAATGAAGAGTAGAATAGAAAATCATCGTAAAAAATTAAAAAGTAAAGAGCTTGGGAAGAAAGAATTGAGAAGCAAATCAATATTCTTCGATCCGACATAGAAAGACTAAAAAATCTTCGTCAAACATGGATAAGACCTAATGCCAAAAGGATGCTTTTCCCTTGATATTGTTTTAATAACGTTTACTCCTCGGCAATGTACATGGTTTCAAAAGCGATGATTAGAATTGTAATAAAACCTAATCATATGATGAAAGTGGACTTATATTATTTTTCTTTATAAAAATTTATATTAAAATAATAAACACTATTCATTAGACTTTTTATTTGCAAAAATAATTTTATATTTCTTCTTCTTTTATGTGCCGTGTCCCTTCAGAACGTAAGTGATCATGGCCCTCCACATCTTCCTCTAACTTGTAGCGCTTAATAAGATTTGTCTTTTTGTTATTTCCCCCAAACTCTTTTCTACCATCTCAATCTCATTATTTCCTCGGTTCCTCTTTTTCTCTATCTGTCCTGTGAGTATCAGGTTTTCCAAGCCTTCTTTTCTCATTACGTGCCCCCAAAATATCAACTGTCTTGATGCAAAATTTCCTTTTTGTTTCTATTCTCACCAAAACCTCGTCATTCCTAACATGTTCGGCGCATGGTATCCTCGGCATCTTTCTGTAGAACCACATTTCGGTTGCTTAGAGCCTCTTCTTCATCTTTGAGGAGATTTCCTAACATTCGGTGCTAGACAGGGGGACAGATGTCACGTAATCAGCTAAGTACTCTTTTCTTTGTTTCCCACGAAAATTTTCTGTCTCTTAATACTCTGCTTAGCTTTTGGAAGGCATCTTTGGCCATTCCAACACGTCTTCGGATCTCAGTGTCGCATTTTCCGTCCTCTGTTAGAACACTTCCCAGATATTTAAATTTCTCTGTCTGCTTGATTTTAATATCCCTGACCTGTAATTTGCATTTGGGGCTCAAAAGTTCAGCGCACTTTTCTTTGTTTCTAACGAAAATTTTCTGTCTCTTAATACTCTGCTTAGCTTTTGGAAGGCATATTTGGCCATTCCAATACGTTCTTCGGATCTCAGTGTCGCATTTTTCGTCCTCTATTCGAACACTTTCCAGATATTTAAATTTCTTTACCTGCTTCATTTTAGTATCCCCAACCTGTAATTTGCATTTTAAGCTCACTTTTTTCTGATAACCATGCATTCTGTCTTCTTGGAGTTTATGTTTGGTCCTTTCTTCTCACTTTCCTTCGTTACGTGCTGTAGGAGATTTTGTAGTTTCCTTTACGTGTCTGCTATCAGGACTGTGCCATCTGCATATCTTATATTGTTAAGATTTTGGCCGCTATTAATGAATCCTGTTATGACTTCTAAGTCTCTCATAATTGCCTCGCAGCTTAGGGTGAATAAATCCAGTGAGAACATACACTCTTTCTATTTTTGTATATCTGCTGAACTCATTTTATCCATATGCAGCCGGTTTGTTGCCAGTAGAGCATTTTGATTATACTAATGTCTTTCCCGAATATGTCAAGGTTGCTCAGCAACTCTAACATTTTTGTGGCTTACTTCATCGAACGCCCTTGCGTAGCCTACAAACCACGTGCATTTGTATTGCTCCTTCTGATCCAGACATTTCAAAGACAAACCCTAAATAAATTCTACAGACAAATCGAAAAGAGTAAAAATCAGATTAAAGAAGCTCCTACCGAGGAGGAAATATTTCAGTTCTAGAATAAAATCTGGAATAAAGTCTGGAATAAAGTCTGGAAGTGATGCTCTATAGACAAGCAGGCAGAAGGAAAGTCAGCAAAGACGGTACGGAACAAAAACAATAAGAGATAGGCGTAGATGACCTCTCGTTAAAAAGTTCCAGTAAATATGCAATGTGATAGATCTGGCATCTCGACTCCAGTCACTTTCCCATCGACGTAATGTGGCTTCCCTTTGTCTTTTCTATAAATATTTTCATCTGTTTTGACAAGCTACTTTCACTGGCGCCCGATTGCATGAATTTAAGCGTGCTACTAGGTTGGCATCTAGGTCCCACCCTTTTACTCTCGAAAGTTAAATGTCAACGCCTCATCTACTTCAACAGCTTCTTTTCTCGCACTTCCCGACAGTGAAACTCCCTTCCTCTTACTTGCTTCCCTGATAACTATAATGTTCAAAAATTTAAATGTAATGTCAACCGACATTTTCTGATGCCTTGATCCCTGTTCTTTTTTATCCTTTCCTCAAACCCCTACCTATACCCAGTCTTTTCTCTTAGCTTCGCTCTCTGTAGCCCCTTGTGTATTAGTGGCACTCCCGCCTTGTTTGGGGTGAAATGCCTATTAAGATTTTTTTTTTCTTTAAAGAAATGGCAATCAGATAGAAAGAATAAGGTTTCAAACTTTTGGTTCTATGGTTTCACAATGCCGCAGGAAATAAATAATTAAAAGAAAAAGGAACCAAAAATGATATAAGAATGTTTGGTAAAAGACATCACAACTTGCACCCCCCCTTTTCCTGATTATTAATAAACAATACTTCACAACATTAATTATAAAAACATAATTTGATTGTGACTTTGGCTCATCAAACACTCCGCACATCCCTGGCCATTACATTTTCTAAATTCTACAATGAATTGCTAGATCTGCTTTACAAACATTGTTTCACTCTGTCGTTTATTATTAATCCTATTGTAATTGTGCTTCTCTCTCCCTCAGTTCGCACGACCGTTACGCCCTGCCAGTATCCCATAAATAATGGACTGTTTTGATCGCGTGGAAAGAAGGGAAAAGACACTACTTGGTTTCAGTGACAAAATTGAAGAAAGGAAAATAGAATTGTAGGAGAGAGAGAGAGAGAGGGAGAGAAAGAGAGAAAGGGAGAGGGAGAGAGAGAGAGAGAACCAATTTAAACTGATAAGATCAGATACTACACTTTGATCTCAGCCACAAAGGTCGAGAAGAGTTTCGTATTTTCTTGCCGCCCCAAATCTGGCTGGATGTGACACACGGTCAGTGCACCTGGGTTTGGTCCCCCCAAAATAGTCCAAACACCCCGCAATTTTCTCGTTTGCGCTGACATCAGTATTTATATATATGATAAAATATAGATGGCCACCCCCCCCATATATATATATATATATATATATATATATATATATATATATATATATATATATATACTAGCTTAAAAGCCGCCATATCAACTGACATTTAAGCTAGCTCCTGCGGAGGGTTCTTGATTGGGACTTCATCACATTTAAGTATTACATTAATATTCAAGCTTACCTTTTAAAAGTTCAATGATAATTTTTCTGCCACCACTTAATTAAAAGACTCATTTGATGTACGTAGGTCCTTACTTTCCGTACAAACAATTATTTTTATTTAATTTATTCATGGTTGACTTGCACTGGATTTCGCAATTACTTTCGATTATTTCCAAATTTATTTCCAGCTTATAAAAATTGTTATCGTACAAAAAACCACGTACAAAAATGGCCGAACCCAATCAAAGTAATGAAAACTTGGGAATCTAAAAATTTCAGTATTGCGGGTCGGGATACGGACTGGAATGTTTCAATTTGCTCAAGGAGCCGGCCTGATTCCAAAATGGTATGACATGTTGGGCTACGGCTTCCAGGATAATTTTATTTTGAAACAGTAATTTTTTCATTTGAACATGAGGTATTGAAAAATAGAGAGTTGTGTCCCTTTAATTGGTTTTATCAGGAGAAGCTAAGATGGCGGAATCCGAAAACAATCGCCGTAATGAAAACTTGGGAATCCAAACTTTTAGGATTGCGGGTCTGGATCCGACCCGGGATGTTTTAAATTTGATCACGGAGTCGGCCTGATTCCAAAATGGTATGTTGGGCTCTTTTAGAGTAAAGTTGAAAAGGTGTGACATACTGACATTCACATTGGTTATATATATATATATATATATATATATATATATATAGGATTAATTTGTCACCTAGCTGATTGATGATACCTTCTGCATTTCGACTCCAGAGTTTTATTGGCGGACCTATCCATCCTCTCTTCAGGTAGAATCAGCAATTTTCTGTTTGTTTATATATATATATATATATATATATATATATATATATATTATATTTTTATACACTTATATATATATATTTTCGAGAAGCGATGGTGTCCGAAATAAAAGCGATATTTTTAGACGCACAGTATCGAATGACAGAAACCAATTAAGCTAGCAATCCATTTACCATAAATAAAATGACATCATCTGTTGAATTATTTTTAAAATATTATTAAGAGAGATGTTCGTAAGACGAGGATTTGGCTAGATTTTATAAAAGCGTAATTTTAATAAATATCACAAAATAATGAGTAGTATATTTGGGTGTTATTTAATAATGAATAAATAAATAGAGACATGATCTATATAGGCATTTGAAGGTGAAGTAATTACTTATTGGATAATACAGATTTTGAATATCGTCTGAAGTTGTAAACATAATAATTTTTTTTTTTTTGCAAATATATTTCACTCTTTCAACACGCAGACATAAATTTATTTTATTGCAGCTTGTTCAATACGAGTCTACTGAATTATTTAGAGAAAAATTAATTTGAAATCAGATAGAAATACATTCATCCAATCAAAATATATCCAACTACTTCTCCCTCTCTCTCTCACTCTCTCTCACTCTCTCTCTTTCTTTTTCTTTCTCTTCCTTTCTTTTTCTCTCTTCTCTTTTTCTTTCTCTTTTTCTTTATCTCTTTCTCTCTCTCTTTCTTTCTTTCTTTATTTATCTCTCATCATAAAGCAAGGCGCAGTATTGTGTATAAGTCGACTTCATCTATAGAGAATTTTTTGCATAAATTTTAACCCCCCCCCACCTAAAAAAAAATTACTTGCTTAAAATGTCTATGGTCATCCTCAGGAACAAGCCAAATATATGTTATTTCAAAGAAATATTCCTTGTCTATTGTGTTTAATAGCATATATATATATATATATATATATATATATATATATATATATATATATATAATTATGAAATGGACTAAATCCGACAATGATCTTAATAAAATTTTTTTTTATACGCTATTTTTATTGATACAAATATTGAACTAATTGGCCTGTTTATAATAGACAGTATTTCAATGAAATTTCTCGGATATTCCGGCCGGTAAATGTTGTTAATACTGTTTATTATAAACAGAGCATTTACTTAAATATTTGTATCTATAAAATAACGTATAAACAGAATATATATATATATATATATATATATATATATATATATATATATATATATATATATATATATATATATATATATATATATATATAATTTTAAGTGGATTTTTTATCCAACACACACATACACGCACATACACACACACACACACACACACATATATATATATATATATTTGCATTTTATGATGAAAAGCACTATTTTAACCTCTTCAAAAAAATTACCTATGTATAATGCGACCCCCTATTTTTTAATAAAAACTGATCATAAATCTCGGAATATACACGAGTATATATCGGTAAGTAAAAAACATTGATTTACATGTGTATAATGCAGCCGGTCACCGAAAATATATATCGGTTTATTCAATATATATATATCTAGTGTAACTGAAAAAAAATGTTCAAATCATGTAACAGCAAAATTGCCCAAATTGTTAGATTAAGCTCTGAACCGTTCTAGCTTAGAAATGATTAAAGATATCTTACTGGAATTCTCTCCAAGCTTAACAGAAGAATCGTTATGAAATCAATAATAAACGAAAATGAAATGCTCATCATTAGTTAATCTTAGCTAAGGATAGAAAGTTCATGAAATACGTTTCAAATATATATATATATATATATATATATATATATATATATATATATATATATATATATATATATGATCGTGTGCTGTTTTATGTTTTAAAAGGAGCAACATTCTAAGTTTTCACATGCCGCGCGCGACTGAAATTCGCGTGAGCATCTTTCTATTTTTTAAAAACATTCAACTGTCCATTTCCATTATTAAATAATGTAAGGTTGATGGTAGGAGAGAATTGTTTGATATATAGGGCCTCTAAAATTCAATGATATATACATACATACATATATATATATATATATATATATATATAGCTTGTTTTAAAATTGCATAATGTAAGGTTGACGGATGGTAGGAGAGAATTGATTGATATTTAGGGTCTCTCGAATAGCAAGGTGTTTCTGATAAGATTTATAACGTAACATTCAAAACACGAGGAAAAAATAACAAAACCAGAGACAAAAAACCCTTGAAAATGTCCATAGAAGTGGATGAAAGTGGTTAGGGCAATAAAAATTATGCCAAAATCTTGTAACAGCATTGTGATAATTGTCCATCCCACAAAATGTTTAATATCTAAAACCCACTAAACTAATTGAGTTTCTTTTTTACAGGTTTTCAGATAAAACGTTTAGCCATCTTGAGACTATTTGTCGCAAGAATCACTGAAAAAAAAACATCTGAGTTATTCAGCTAGGAGGAGAACAGGTTAAAATGAGCAATGGTGAGAGAAAAAAGATCATCAGGTCTTCGGTAGTGGTACCAAGATTCATACTCTGGCTTCCATCTTCAAAGTCTATTCAAAAACCATCAAGAGAATGGTGAATAAGTTTAAAAGAAAGAGTAGAGAGGAAAACTGAATCAGGAGGTCACAAGAAGAGGATCATCATTTCAAATTAGAGCTAAACAGATCAATTAGAAAAGATCCAACTCAACCCATAAGATATTTGGCATGTGAGAGAGGAGTTTCAGCTATGACAGTCCCAAGAGCAATGAAAAAAGACCTGAAAATGAAATCATATGTGAAACCTGTGAGGTACCGTGTTACTCCAGAACAGAAAGTTAGGAGGTTAGAGAGGTCGAAGATTATCTTGAATAAGTTGGAAAATGATTCTGAATAATATATATATATATATATATATATATATATATATATATATATATATATATATATTTGGACTTTATTTCAATCCTTCATGAGCTTCCGATCCGTAGCTATGATTAATCCTTTGAGCCCTGAGCACTGCTTTACCGGTGGTAGAGAAAATAACTTAATCCCCAGCTACCGGTTAAACTGTGGGTAAACATTTGCGACGTGTTTTGATATTGATTGTCATTTGGTTAAATTGGGACACAAAGATAGAATTCTTGTGATAAAGTGATGGCATGCAATCATAATCTCTCCCTGCTAAGTATAATGCTTAGATTTTTTGTAACTATTTTTATATCTACCGTCAAACATTACATACCAATTATTTGTGAATTTTGACTCTAGGAGCTCAGGCAGAAGTGTCAAAATTTTTGAGGAACGCAAGGTTCAAAGGGTTAAATAATGATGAAAATGTCATTTTCTTTTATGATCGATTCTTCTGTCAAGTTTGGAAAGCAATTACACATTCTTATTACTTAAAGTACAGTGACATACACCCCCTTTGAAAATTTTCAAAGTACAGTGACATACACCCCCTTTGAAAATTTTAAAAGTACAGTGACATACACCCCCTTTGAAAATTTTCAAAGTACAGTGACATACACCCCCTTTGAAAATTTTCAAAGTACAGTGACATACACCCCCTTTGAAAATTTTCAAAGTACAGTGACATACACCCCCTTTGAAAATTTATATATTTTGTATAATGTAACAGGGAACAACACATTTTTTCAATTCCAATGATTGTTAAATAATTAGCAGATCCATCACACTTTCCTTTGATATAAAAATTACATTTTAAAAATTTCACACTGATTCTGAAAATCATATAACTTAGAAAAATGTCTTTGCAAAAGTCTACCCCCACCAGATATTATACTGCGTTATCACGTAGCTTATCATTGATGTATACAATCCAGAACAATCAATGTACGTTCTACCATAGCAAACAAACTTGGCCATTCTATTATTTTGCTATATAAGGTGATTTAACTGCCTTTAATCACTCACCACATGGTTTCTTGGTATGTTGGTCTTTGGACTCTGACTGTAAAGACAAGGTGTCGAACTTGGGAAAGAAAATGGGCAAGCCTCTGTCTCAGGAACTTAAAAACCTTATTATTCAAAAGTATAATGAAAATAATGGCTATAAAAAGATTGCAAATCTTTACAATTGCCCTTAAGCACTGTTAAAACTAGTTAAGAAGTGGTTAATGTGCACAAAACCACTGCTAAACTTCCCAGAAGAGCAAAATCAAAACTGGTCCAGGAGCCAACCTCCAACCCTAGTGCAACGCTGGAAGATTTGAAAGCTTCAGTTTGCAGTACTGGGACAGATGTCCATGCTTCTACAATTTCCAGAGTATTGCACCGGTCTGGTCTGCAAGGGAGGGTAGCTGGAAAAAAGCCCATTCTGAAGCTTATGCACAAGCAAGCTAAGCTAAACTTTGCCAAAAGTCACATCAATGATTCCATGACCATTTGGTGAAAGATTTTGTGGTCAGATGAGACCAAAGTCGAGTTATTTGGAAAAAATACGAACTGCTACGTTTGGCGGAAAAAAAGGCACTGCTCACCTACATCTTTACACCTTCCCCACTGTAAAGCATGGCAGGGGCTCGATCATGCTTTGGAGCTGTTTTTCAGCTGCAGGGCCTGAAGAGCTGGTATCCATCCAAGGTCTCATGGACAGTGTCAAGTACCAAGAAATATTGGAGGCAAACCTGCTGACGTCCGTTAGAGCTCTGCGCTTGGGTCGCAATTTCAAGTTTCAACAAGATAACGACCCCAAATATTTGTCAAAAATCACTAAAGCTTGGTTTGTTAGCATGAAAATCACAGTTTTGGAGTCACCTAAATCCTATACAAAAACTATGGCGAGAACTAAAGCTGGCTGTGCACCGACGTTCCCCATCCAATCTGACACAACTCCTCGAGAAGTTCTGCGATGAAGAATGACAAAACCTGTCAGCAGACCACTGCAGCAAGCTCGTGGAAGTCTACCCAAGGCCTCTGCAGGCTGTAATTGACGCAGCAGGATCATCCACAAAGTATTAGCTGAAGACATTCCATTCAAAATTATCTTTGTTTAAAAATCAGTTTGAAATTTTTCAAATGTATTTTGTGTATTAAATAAAAGTGTGATAGATCTGCTTATTAAAAACAAATTATTGGAGTTTAAAATATTAATTGTTCCTATCAAAATAAACAAAATCCATCCAGTTTTCAAGGGAGTGTAGACTTTTGCAATGCACTGCAGAGTCCAGTAGTGTTATAAAAACGCCGGAGATAAAACGGTTCAAATCTTAATAATACATATTGGCAATTTCCCTTTTACACGATTTGGACAATTTTGCTGTTACACCCGGTTCACACACACACACGCACACACACACACACACACACACACACACGCATATATATATATAGGAATGTGTAGGATAAAAAATACACAAATATTTGCACGTACATAACTATATTTATTCCTCAGGTATTATGAATACTCAATGTTATGAAACAGAGCTCTAAGTATATATTAGCGAATATACATAATATCCAATGTTGATAACACTACTCGAGATATCATGCAGTTGTGGAGTTGAAGATTGCATAAACTGCATAAAACTGTAAGTCGTGTTATCGACGTTGGATATTATATATATTCACTAATGAACATTTGTTCAAATTAATTGAAACAACCGCTTTAGTTTCCTTTCTTTCACCATAGAATCAATTTGTGACCCACTGCAGTGACAGGGTGTAATCGATTTCTATTTTTTCCTCAGATTATGCCGTGTGCAGTAATATGAATCTATTTTGGGGGTATATAATC